AGCAATTTGTTGAGAAATCCCGATGACTCACTTCTCTCTCCTTTGTACTATGTCTCAAATAAAGAAAAGATGTCGTGAGGACAAAAGCTTCCAGCAAATCTTGGACCCTTAGTATTCATTTTGGAACACATCATTAAGTGTTCCTTTTTGTGTAGTACCTCATTCTCAAAGGATTCGTTTGCGCAAGAATCAGAAATACCACATCTCAATTATTTCTGCACCTGGAAAAAGTTTGATTCTTCAGAAATTTTTGATATCAAACTACACCTCGATAACTTTTCCTACCGCGGACGGCCTTCAGCATTTAGGTCTTTGTAGTATGTGGGCTATCAGCTCAAAGTTTCCCTTCTTACGCTGTCGTAAACTTTTTTTGCTTAGCAAACAACTACGCTACGAAAAATTTTACTCACGTAACAAAGAATTTCCCGTTTTGTTTGTCCAAACGATTAGGTCCTCCGGTAAAAGAAGTTTGCAAGGTGAGAGTTCCTAACTATGCTCCGCAATATTTGCATAATAGATGGCAGAGAATCTGACGTACGTATCGATCACGGAAGCTTAAACATGAAAAAAAAAGAAGACAAAAGGCCGAAAATCGTCGTCGTTGAGAGTCGCGCAGCTAGAGATATGAGTCATTGGTCGAGATCGCCTCCCCCCCCCCTGTCGATATCGCCGCGACCGCTTATCGCTGTCATCGCATTGTGAACACCATCATTTTCATGCATTTATGTTGTCTGATGTATCGCCACGCGATATCGCCGTTCTCTCTGCTCACCTCCTTCCTTTTCGCCCTCGTTTAGTACTCTTAGCAATGCACTACTGCCTATGTTCTTTTTAACATTCCTTCACTTCTTATGGCGAACCTGTACTAGATTTTTGGCTCCCATAATAGAATGCAGTCTTAAATTTGGATTTAGGTATAGCTAAGTTCTTTCGCCGCCAAATGAGGTTCGGGCAAAAAGCTCAAGACGAAGAAACTCATCTAACACTCTATAGCCTTCTTTCCACTAGGCATTGATGAACTACCAGGCAATTTCCGACTACTCATTTTGTTTGGTTCAACTTCTGCGAAAATCTGGGATTCTCTTCCATTCCTCAGTAGAAATAAGGTCCAAGCTTCTTGCACATTCAATGTCAACAAACAATTTTCTCATTCAACATTGCCATTTCTCATTTCCATTCTGCCAGCTTTCATAAGCAAAATGTATGTTTTGTTTGAGTTCGCCTACGAGCCGCAGCCCTCAAAGCCCTTCCACAGACCTCATTATCTCGTTATTCGATCATATGAAATAAGAAACCCATTTTTCTTAAAATGCCATTTATCTAATACCTTCTACTTATCTGTACCTTTTGGACGAAGTATGTCTGTTGTTCTATTTAACCATATCCGATTGGCTTTTTGAAGAAGGCCTTCTCCTAACTTCTGATTTTTTATATAGCTCACTTCGTGTGCATAATATAAAATAATAAAACGAAGTATGATCGCCGGTATACCTCACATGAATTTTGATTTTGTCTTATTCTGAATGTCTTCAACATCATTTTCTTGTCGCCGTCATCTTGTCCAATGCATCTAAACTCTTTCTCACGTCCTTTCGCCAAGCGAGACAAGGCTGCCCCCTAAAAAACCTTGCAAAAGTCAAATGTGAGCTTTCGTGGCATAGCTGTACTTTCGTTTTCAAGAACTGTTATGCCCTACAAATCAAGTTTAAATCGTCTTGTTTGGGACCGACTGCCGATTACTCATTGCTAGTGTTCCGTGATTGAGCTGTTATGTCGCTGTTTCATCATGATGCTTGAAAAAGCAGAACTTGAATGCTCATAATGCATCATTTTTGAAAATCAAGGACAAAAAAGCATATGTGAATCGTGATTCATCCACAGACTGATAAAAAGACGGCGGAAAGTACGGCAACACGGCTACAACGCTTTTGAGACAGTGGTGCTTTTCTTGTGTCGTCTCTCCAACGGGTCGAAAGGCGTTAGCCGCGCCGCGGACTCTGTCGCAACGTTGAATATTGTCTGCGCTGCAAATTTACCTCTACCATAAACCAGAAGTGTTCCTCTTTTTACAAGTATTGTTATTCACGCCACTGTCTTCAATCATTTATTTGCTATTTGGAGTGACCCTTGTCTACACAATGCACTTGATTTCTCGCAGATTCCCCTTAGCAACTGTCATTTGTTTTGATAAAGCATTTGTACTTTGTCTGATTATGTAAAGAAGTCCCGTGCTGATAGGTCGCGCGCAAGCCGCGCAGCACGCTGGAACGCTCTCTGTCGTCCACTTCCATTCTATTCATTCTGACTGCGTGAATTTGTGACTTCCACTTAATTTGATTGTCTCTATCTCTTCCATTTCCCCATTTTGTGGGTACGAGTATTAGATCGCCATGAAGCTCTCTCCCGAGATATTCACTTGCATTCATTTTAGATCGTGTTCTTAGTTTATTTACGCTAGCTTGTGATTTTCTGTCATTCATCTGTGTCAAAAAGCAAGACGTAGACAAAAATATATCTAAAGTCGATTTCTACGCTGGAGTTTCACAACAGTAAAAGCTGAGAATCCTTGGTGAGGAAATCACAAATCTGGCATGCATTTGAAGAAGCTTTGTAGTTCTAGTGTTTGACAGCGTTCCGGATTCGCTAAATTTTCATATTTTTGGTCCAGCACGCACACTTTCATCGTATTCGTATAAATGGAAATTACGGTTACGGGGTGAGCTAGCTGAGAAAGATCTGTCCAAAGTTTGCGAAACTTAGCCAAAGTGTACCTACACAACGCAGCATATATTACTTCTTTCTGAATCATACTTATGCCTCTAACCATAGTGTACGAGTGGAGTTTGTTAGAAGCCCTACTAAACACTCTGCCGGATGTTATTTATCTAACATAAGCTCTCTTTCCTACTCATCTTGATGTAAATCTTCGGTTGAAATTATAAAATATCTGATGGAAGGACATCGGAACTAGTTTACCTGTTTTGTTTTTAGTAGTTCTCTAATAAACTTTCGTTAATTTGTCTTCATTCAGAAAACTTCTCATGAAAGCTATGGGCATGTGTTTGCAACCACACTTCAGACCTCATATAGTGGGCTTAACTTACTCTCCAAAATTTGGAAATTCAACTTCGCGTTCAAATTGTAGTTGTATCGAGCAATTGCTGGAAGCCTGAGAGAATTTCGAAATAATAACCAACCCTAGAATTCAGATGACAGATGCAATCTGAGAATTACTGCAACTCTAACCGCTCTTTCCAAGAAGAACGAGTGAGGCTGAAAAAAAAAAGCAGAATACCAAGTGAAAATGACGCAATGGGAATATAGCGCAAGGAGACAAATTGCTTAGAAAATAAAGCTGCCAGAACATTCCACTCAGAAGCTTCACCCTTCACCCAATCTACTCGTCGCAACCTTTTTTGTATGTAGGCATAGGCTGTGTAAGTGGAAATTCTACCTATATTTGCATAAGCTTTTGTCACCTTTTCAAAAATACAGTCTGTTTTTGAATCTCTATTGAAAATACTGGTATTCTCAAAGTTTCAAAAAAATTAACCAAAAGTTTCCTCGGAGCTTTAATCAAAGTGCTCTCAAAACATTTGTTTGCTTTCGGTTTTTATGTAAGATTTAGCGCTCACTGGATTACGACATCATCTCTGACCCCCTTGTAATATAGGGTTATCGGTGGTAAGAATCCTGGCAAAAAAATACATTTTTTCTGAATGGTTCATTACTTTATAGAGAATTTTCTGGTTTTATCGTTGATCCAGCATCGACTTTTCATCAACATCGATCGAATTATGGTATGTAGTGTCGAAAGCAGATATCTCCATCCCCTACTTTTTTTTCAAAGTCGCGAATTTTAAATTGAATTCAGAGTTGGAAGAATTGTGCAAGTACCTTGTTTATACAGGGTGTACCAAAAAAATGTGCACACTGTTTGATCGCGAACAACTTTCCTCCACTGATGTCTATTGCCGTTCTTTAGATACCATCCAGAACAGTGGGCCTCAAATCTGATTCACAGATGGAGCGAATTGCCCATCGCTTTTCATTACTGTAGTATTACGTTAGAAACTTCGTTGAGAATTTTAGGCATTGTGAGCCATATTTTGCCTCAGAGAAAAACACAAGCTAAAAAAATCCTATGCCAAACTATCTTAGGCTATCCTACCGTAATTTTATAGTAAAAAACAGCGATTAGCGATTGCTCCACACTATAAATCTAAGTTGAGGCCAGCTCTACAAAACTGCAAAAGATCTGCGAGAGACGTCAATGCAGAAGGGTTATGAACGATGTGCACATTTTTTTTTGTATACTGTATTTCCGAATTTTTTCCCAATTTTCCACATAATTTGGTGTAAATATCAACTTTTAATACTCTAGAAGCTCCTCGAAATTCGGAGAGATAGATGGCATCAGAATTTCTCAACCAGAAAAAAGTTTTTGTCTTCCCTTCCATGTAATTGTAAACATCAAGCGAGTGTTCGTTTCTTTGCGTCTAGTCTCCGATTTTTGAAAAAGAACTTTTTGATAGTTTACTGTGCTATGACATGAAGCTTAGTATTCTCAAGCGTGCAAAAACACAGTCATACAAGTTTAAGCTATGTCTTGACAAGTTTTTCTCTTAAAGAGTGTTCCACTATGTACATTTACATGTATTTTTGTTACAAGTCACTGAACGAAGCTATGCTTTGAGCGTAGAGCTGGATATTTCATAGTCTTTCAATGCTCTAGACGAGTACCTGCTATCTTTATTTAATCAACGCTCAAGCTTCAATTCTCCGAATCAGTTCGCAAAACTCGACGAAATCACGGCATTTTGTGTGTTATGCACGATCGGGCATACAGCGACTCATTGATTACTCGTAATCAGTTATGCTTGCTCCGATCTGATTCACACTACTTAAACTAGCATTATCACCCTTTGTTCTAGTCTCATTTCCGTTCTTTTTTACTCCCCCTAATGTCTTTTATCAAACGAACTTCCGTTAGAAAGTTATGCATTTAGAATGGCCGAATACGCCGCCGGTGAAAATGTTGACGATGAGTCAGAGAAGTCCGAGAGCCACTACAAAGCTCCGGAAAAGAAAACCGTCTCCGAAATTCTTAGTGCCGATCAGGTAATCCTTCAAAGTCTTCCTCATTCTTACTTGGCTCTTGATATCAATTCATTTTTCATTTGCATCGGAAGACTGAGCTTTATGACAGATTCAAAACGAGCGATTTTCTTTCATTTTTCAAGAATCTCATTTGCATCGTTTGTCAGTCCATTTATTATGACACATGTCACCCATTGTTTTGTTTTCATAGCGGTCAGTGACAAGTAATTGGGACTCAATGAGAGATTATGATGTTCATAGACCCAAACGGCTTGCAGAAATAGTTTGAGGGACTTGTTGAAATGAGTATGCTTACTTTTGATTCAAATTTCTCGAATAACTACATTTTAACATCATGATTTGAAGTTTGGAGTTCAAGTAGTTGCCGATACGAGTTGACATTAGTTGATGAATCATTAGCATATGCGACTCGTTTTTTGTCACCAATCAAAGCTTTTTCGAGAATGTTGATAAATCCAAGTTTGTAAAATTTTTCGGGGCATCTACCGCCAAGCTTTTTTCTTCCAAAAGTCAGGCTCGCTTCCCCCCCCCCCCCCCTTCCAAGGAAAACTTCTCGGACCACAGCTGTCGTATTGTGTTCGTTCATGCGGTATTCACCAACTAATTTTATCTAAATGCTTTTCATTTGGTTACACTATTCAACATTTCGATCCCTGAATCTTTTCAATTGGTCAATCATTTTTTTCTCAGCTCCCGAAATGCCGCACATATTTGCTACCTTGATATCAAATGTTATTTGTTTGCAAATCTATCCAATTATTTGAGGTTTTTATATTCGCATATATTTCAATTGTTCGATCTTTCCGATTTTTGTTATATATCGATCATTCGCCGAAAAACATTTATTGCGTCGAATTCTTTTGAAAAATTTTAATCACCATCTTTCTTACGGTAGATTGAATACTTCAGCTACTTCTAAATATTTTTGCATGTTGCTGTTGCTTTTTATAGTGCATATGGAAGATATGGTCCTCAAATTCTGATGTTGGGTTCTCTATATTCCCTACATATTATTATTAAGGACGATGAAAGCCTTGCCAAATATAAGGCAACGCTGCTTGGCAGTTCACCCGTGGACACAGTCGTTGACCCAATGGATCCACGAATTGTGATTGTCAAGTCCATAACGCTTCTTGTTCCTGGACGAGACGACGTCACGATGGAGCTGGATAATCCTAGTACGCTGCTGTTTGCCCTAGGGGCAGAATATATGTTTTTCAAGAAATGGGAGTAGGCAGTATTGTTTGAGGAAAATATGATGGCACTTTGCTGCCATGGCGGGCCTGGCATCAGGTGCCTTTGAAAATTTTGCAAATGAAGTCATGGTAATTTTGAGAAAAAAATTTTGAAGTTGAAGATAAAATTGTGGGATTGACAAGATGACGCGGAATTTGTATTGTTCATTTTTCAAAAAATTTGCGGAGAACTCGGGCAATTTCTAAATTGGAGATATCAAAAGGCAGATTAATACGTCACTTTGAATATCTTTTGTTTTTATAACCAAAACTCTGGATGAATGCCAATCTCTCAAGATACCATCTAGCAAAGAATCTTGGGTTTTATTTACCAGCTAAGTTCGATACTACAATGGATCAGTTCTTGAACAACAATGGATTAAAAGTGTTTTTTCTGATACGAAGATTGCAACTCTAGAGAATCACGTGTGATTTTTCACAGCTTAAATATTTTTGTGCCTCGCCGTGGCTGTTATAGCATTAGCGGACAATCTATCATCAGACTACATTTAGACCATATTTGCTTCAAAAAAATTTAGAAAAGTCCTCCAATGTTAGAGACGCGGCGTCTCTATTTGCTTAACTTTTAAGGTGAATTAGGTGATGCCACGTTCAAGCTGAAAGAAGGATGTCAATACCGGCTTCGATTCGATTTTTACGTCCAGCGGGAGATAGTCACAGGCTTGAAGTGAGTTTTAAAAAGAATTATTGAATCTCATGTGCCCGAAACACGATTGTTTACCCTTTTAAATGCATTCAAATAACCGCTTATAAAATTTGCTTCAAAAATTTATGGTAACGGATGAGATCGGCCTAGACAATAGGAGGTTGTGAATCTATAAATCCTCAAATTTTCTCCAGGTGCTCGAATCGGTGTCGTTTTGTCCATAAAATTGCCAGGAATTTTGCTTTTTCGAGCTGAACATTGCTTGAAAGGAAATAAGACGGGTTTTACAAATTCCTTGTCTCTGAAAGTTGGATCAAAGTGTAAAGTAGACGCAAGCTTGGCCCTCTCTATACGAAACGGAAAGTATTCTACCTTACAAGGTGGTCAGGCTGGTGAAAATGTAGTAGTTTCCTATGAAGCTTCAAACTATGTACTACACTGACACTTAATGGTCACTCTAGTTCGCTCTTTCTATGAAACTCTTTGAATAAAGTCGATTTTCTAAAGTGTTACTCTCCCATCTATCCGTGAACAACTTCAAAACATGGCTTTATGCCTACTGTGAACTCCTACATCAGTATCTAACTATCGCTCACTTACTTTCAGTACGCTGAGTAGTTAACGATCATCCGCTTAATCTAACGCTCAATCTTCGGTCATAGTCGTTAGTATGATCGGCAACAAATAGCTGACAGCAGATTAATGTCATTTTGCATGCATTAATTGATGAGAAAACTGAAAAACTGTCGTTTTCCAAGTCTAACTTTGCAAGTTCAATTTTTGCAAGGGACTGCAGTTGATTACAAGCTATTCAACCAAAAATCAAACCGAGATAATGCGCTCAATGCGCCTTTTGTTTGGGTAGCGCTGCATACTCCAGTTTTTCTAATTTGCGGTCAGCAGTCCACTTGGGTAGACTGTATAATTTTCGGCGGGGAGCCGAGCTGGAAGTTAACGGATTTTTGGATTCTCGTCTAAAGAATCAGTATTTGATTTTATCATTCTCCTTGCATGCTCATACCCAATCACAAAATTCAGTGAATTTAGAATTAAAATTACATCAAAATAATTTATTATACAGATGAGCTGCGATTTAGACGTACGTAATGAGCTAATTAAGGTATATTCACAAAGTGAGCCGTCATGGCGTACAAGTCCTCAAGGAAACCTTCATGGTTGGATCTTATGCACCTAAGCAAGAACTCCAGAGCTACACTACCCCAGTCGAAGAAGCGCCATCAGGTATGTACTGCAAATGGTTGTTTCTTCTACAATTTTTTCTTATTGTGGAAAATTGTGCGAACTTATAGGTATGCTCCATCGAGGTAAATACAAGGTGAAGTCCCAGATGACGGATGACGATGGTCACGACTGGTTGACTTGGTGTTGGATCACAGAGATCTCGAAGGACTGGTAGACCTCGTTTATGAGCATGTTCAGCAACTGATTTTGGCCCATACTGGTGTATTCTGATTTTGCATCAACCTCTTCTTCCTTGTGCACAGATAATCTAAGAAAATTGGTACGCTCCCACGCCATACATTGACGTCCAATAAGTTGTTGCACATTGAGTTCCATTTTCTCGACACTTTTCTTACGGTTTTTATGTGATGTGCGGATGAAATAGTCGCACGCCTTTCCTTCGTTTTCTCCCATACCATTTCACTTCTAATTTGCGTTTCATTGTACTACGTTTATGTAATAAACAGGACCAGTAAGATTTATGTGCAGCTGAGTGAAACAATATGGATAAAATGGGCAACATAGCAGACTAGCAAGTAGTTCGAAAAAATAAAACGAGAAAAATGTTGACAGAGAGAAGAGACCCACACGATATCACGGTATCAAGCACAGGTTTCAGTATTTACAATGATCATTGGGCAGTTGGCGAAAACAAAGCGTTTCCAACATGCTTTCGAAATATAAGCGTTTACAATTTGTCATCTTCGCCCTTAGTTGCCGATTTCGGTGACTTCTCTGTAAATAAAATTTTGGAGTACTGCTCTCGTCTGAAAAGATTCGAAGAAGTCATGCATCATTTTGTTTTGACAAAAAGGGATGACCAAGAGGCTACATCTCATAATGTGTAACTTAACCTAATATAGTGCCCCCAAAATGCAAAAGTTACTGTGGAAGAAGTTTGGAGCTCCTCAAAAGTCTATTGACGGAAGTTTTTGCCAGCGCAATTTCATTTTGATAAATATTTCCTTTCTGCTGGCATTATGTTTTCTCTCCAAAACTTTCTAACAAAGTAAATACCAGCTAAGCGCTTCCTCTACTCACCTTTCTGTCCCTGAGCTTCCAACCAGTTCTTCATTTCCTGTGCTTCGACATCTGTCACACTACTCTGTAAATGATAATATGTTTAGAAACTGGTAAAAATCAAAAGGACATACTTTGTTATTAACAGCTGCTGCTAATCCAACAGGAACTTGCTGTTCACTGTTAGCAGCATAGGCATCCGCGCTAGACGTTGATGTCACCTCTGAAAGGTAAATACCTGCTAAGTATCTCAAAAGTGTAGATAGCGCAGTAAAAAGTTGAACTGACTCATTCCAGCGAGTTGTTCTTCTAAAGACTTCCCCGTCTCTCCCACATCAATCAAATTAGCAGTCGCTGCTTCTTGGGATGCAGTAGAAGCTTCGGTAGCGCCATCGCCGGTTCGATTCGTCATAAATCGCTCGTACTTTTCAAAAACGCTATTGAACTCGTCATTCAAAACGAGCAGTTCATCTAAAGTAATGTCAACGGAGAACGAATAACAAACATGAACAAACTTACAAGTTACTTCTTCATTTCCTACGGTTCGAATCAAGTCAAGTATTCGTAGCTGCATTTGTTTGCAAGTCGCGTGCAATTCTTTCAGCAATTGCAATTCATCCGCTGTCTCGCGACCAGGTGTTATTTCGGTGAGCATCTCGCGAAATACCTGCACAATCAGATTCAAGAGAGAAAGAGTGAAGCACCGGAGATCAGTCAGAAAGCTACCTTCAGATTCGAATTGACCACATCGAGATCAGAACGAAGTTTTGCTAGTTGCTCCGCCGAGGCAGTAATCGGGCCTTCCGGCTGACTCACCACATCGTAGCTCTAAAAGAAGCCGTACAGACAAGGAATAGATATACTAAAGAAAGACGATCCATATAACCTACTGGTGACCCAGCTGGTTGCGGCGTAAGAGCCGTCGATGCTTTCGGCTCAGTGAAGACCGTCTACAACACATCACAATCAACACTACACACAGAATCTGCTACATTTTCAGTAGGCTTGAGACTGCTTGTCCATATTTCTGTCTGCATGTGACCTCTGGTGTTCCGTAAACATCAAACTTCGATGTCCAAATCGCTCTTTCGAGATTCAAAACTGGCAAGAAAAACATGCTACACACAAAGGCAACCAAACTCCTGGGAGAGAATCCTCCAACTTCCGGCTCAAGAGTCAACCATCACCAACAACAACGAATGCAAAGCTTTTTCTTGAAATGTCTGTAATGAGGCAAAACACACCTGCTTTGGAGTTAAAATTGGTGCCATGGCATCCAGATCAGTTGGAGGGAACGTAACGCCTTTACTGACGAGCTCTTCGTAAACTTGTACAACTCCTTGAAGATCGGGATGTCCACGGAACGCGTCTGCCCAAGCCTATAAATTAATCACTGAACATTAATATAACTGCTAGTCAAATTATCCCCTAGAAATCCCAACAAAGCAGTTAAGAAAAGCCAGAAAATAGGAACTAAAGTGTCGGAAATCAAAAAACAGAATATATGTTTTCTCCCTGACAATTTGGTTCAGCTGCAATGCTCATTAGGATTTTCCTTTTTGAAAAGAGCCGGGAAGATCATGGTTAGCGCTCAAGTGGACAATTTAAGAATCTCACCACTACAGCATAGTTTTGAATCCAGATAAGGCAGACTCATGAAAGCAAATTTGTGAGGTCACGCTTCAAAAAAAGCTTTGCTAAAGATAACTATCAGTTTCTCGGCCTTCACAGTGTAGTATGAGCATTTTACTTTTCTGAATCATATAGTTTGCCATACTGAACGATACCCCATGCTATTTCACAGTGTGAGCGGAATTTTTGCAATGTTTTCTTCTTCCAGAACACCGTTTGGTTGAAAAACTGTGCGGCGGCTCATTTGCACGTTTTTATTCAGCTTAGCTGTACGGGGGTGAGAGTGAATGACTTTCCACAGGAGCACATCTTGGACGCAATTTGGGGATCTTTGCGTGAGAGTTTACATCTTAAGAACAAACTTATTGGAACTTTTTCCCAAAGACTGCCTGTTACAGGTGTAGTGTTCTATCTATTCAAACTGGTAAGCTCGTAAGTCTTTCAATTTTACACTGCATCGATGAAGAAAAGCGAGATTTGACAAACCACTACGATTCAGTTTCAGTTTCTCGAAAAGGTGTTGTATGATGCAATCTCGTCTTTAGCCCGTCGCCCAGTGTAGATACGTGTGTTAAGACGTTCTCGCGGTTGAGCCAAAGTTTCTCGGCGCAATCACGCTGCAAATGGAGGACGCCGGCATTGAGGTCGTCGCGGAAACAGAAAAAAATAGCAGCGCACATTGTTTCATCTATAACTAGAACCCGACGCCGAAAATCGTACAAGAGCGAGTCCGAGCCATAGGTGCCCTAATTACTGGCCACCGATCGGGGTCGCTCGTCGTCACGGTCTACCATTACCGAAAAACCGAACAGCTTCGGCACCAGTTTTGATAATGTTCTTGTGAAGTACTCATTCTGCAAACACTCTCTGTCACGATAGAGACAAGTACGCAGGTGCGACAGTACAAGCAGATGTTGGCGGTGTATTCATGACTGCGATTCGCTATTAGGAGTGTAATTTACTTAGCACAATGGAAAAAAATGATGATAATGGCGAGTTGATAAACTATGAGAAAAAAAGCTAGAATGAGATAGCAACAGAGCCGCTTAATGAGGACGCCAAAACCTACAGTACACACACCCATTTACAAAGAACCACATCATGCCTTTTTTCAGCTGTACACGTGTACTAACGGTATGATAGGATGAGAAAAACATTTGAAGAAAACTGAAATTGCTTTAAAGTCTACTTCAAACATAAGCATGTTTTAGCTAAGCGCTGCAAGAAAACAGCGGTGGATGGCTCTGCACACCAAATTACACTAGTCTTCCTGATCGGCTCGGTAAAAAACTTGAAGTACAGCATGTTCGGAAAGAAGCTAAGGTAGAACAAAACTCTCAGCTTAGACCAAACACAGAAAAAGCTTCGTTTAATATCAGACGTTACACACGCTCACAGTATTCCTGCCTTTGCCTTTTAAAAACAAGCTCATTCAGAAAGCGCATTAAGTTTGGTTGAAAATACAATTTACAATATAAAGAACATACCTGAATGAGCGACAAAACTCGTTCGTGAATGATCTGTGGTGTGTCGAACTTGGAGCCAATCAATTTCACCAAATCTTGCACAAAATCCTTAGAACACACAAGCACATGGAAGTTATGACCGCAATTCTTTACGCAGGTCTCGAGCACTGTAAGTGTGTACATAACTATTGCATTGTTCTTGCACATGTTCGTGTGCAGACGTTTGCGAATAGCTCGCACGGCATCCTTGGCACTGAAAAGAAACAATTAGCACTTTGCTCACAACCGGCTGGAAGTGTGAAGCACTTCTATGACCGTTATAAAACAATACGCCCCCAGTTCCAAAGAGGGGTACTCTACTCCCTTTGAAAACCGAAACTTTCACATAAGTAAGACCATTACATTCAAGTAAAGTTGATGCAATATTAGCATAAAAGTAGTAAAACTAGACATGATAAACTAGTCATGATAAACTCTTACCCGTCTTCAGTGTTATTGACAAAATCGCATATTTCCATGTTCAATCCCCAGTTTTCTGTGGCAAGAATGGAAGCATTTGTGGCGAGTTCTAAATGGTAATAAGATTATTTTTGAGAATTCATTGTTGAATGAGCTTAGTAAACGACACTTCTTCCACAAAGCAGTTCCACGACATTTTCCATTGGATTCATCATTAATTCTGCCCTTGTTCTTGAGAGTCTTATCAAAAGCTGACATAATGTCAGCACACGAAACACAAGAGAAAAAAAATTCAATGACGACCATGAGAGAGTCATCACATTTTGATAACACACTCAAAGTGCCTCAAACTAAAGCAATGTTGCAAAAAAAGCATTATTGCTAAAATCTGCACCTATTTTGCGTCCAACCGGTGTGGAGAATGGATTTCCTTGGAAGAAATCCGACACTTGTTCGCCGACTTTTGCAGCAGCTTCCTTGGCCGATTCCATTGTTTTTGAAACTTGCTCGCTTACGTTGCTCATCTTCAAGAAATAAGCTTTACAATCGATTTTAGCTCAATGAGGAGACCGCGAGAGAATAAAAGTCACAGAAGCAAAAAGGCCACAGTTTTCCATGCATGCCTACAGAAGTCAAACAGTCTTTATGGACGAGTGAGCAAGCAACTCGCAGACAAAAGCAGTCCACTGAGACGTCGTACAATTGCTGAATCAATAGAATTTATTGAATGATGATAAATGATTTAGCAAGCAGCACTTTATTGCGAAAAAATAACACAACAATAGACAAAGAATGTATTCGAGGATATGGGCAGCCCCACCACACATACTGAGGAGGACCGCAATCGATTCGCATACCGCACCCGCTTTGGCCAAAGGCCAATGGAACGGACGCCAAACAAGAAAATTAGTCGGAACAGCACGAAATGTGCTCATCTTCCAAATTATCCGAAGTAATCCGTCGGTCGAAATGATTAGAATGACTTTAGCAGACTATGTGAAAAGAGCTACCCATAAACACCATTGTCTCAACATAGTGTACCTCTGACTACCCAATTAGAAAGCAAGAAATCTAGAATACAGTATCTAGAACTATATCACTATCGGTGTCAGAATCGATAAGGAAGATAACTCACGACCTCGGCGAGAAACTGAATATCGTCAATCTCGACCGCAGTATTGTGGAGGCACGCAAGTGAACCACCGCAAAGGCCATATTGCCAACAATCGCCGAAGGTTCCAGAAAAACCTAGAAGGTGCTGATGACCAATTCTTACCCATGTATTGCATTACTAATCAATGCACATCAAAGACCGTGATAACGTGGCTCTCGTTTGCTTATCCTGGTCCAACATCGGGTAGCGCCGGAGAAAAGTGCATGATTTTTGCTTGTCCCCTAATAGCACTACAGCACACGTCATCTATACTTTTATTAGCCGTCGACTAGATGCACTGTCTATTGACAGATTTCAACAATAGCGAACTATGAAGCTGAGTGCACAGTAGCATCGACGAATTAGTCCATACATTTGTGATACATTTCAATCCATCAAAAAACTGTAGCACATGATGTTCAGTGAGGTTAGAGAAGAACGACCAATCAAGCGAGTGCCGGTCCTCGGATACAGAGACACTCAAAGAATCGACGAATCGCTGCCTCGGTAATAGTTCTACGAAATGGCCTCACAACTGGATTGTAGTCTGTCGATTTCCGAAAGACTCTTATTGCTTAGGTGCAATGATTCAGAAGAGCTCGCTCGAATTCTACTTCTGATGTCCTTGAATTTAGCCTCGATAAGTGGAATCGATAGTAATTTGGGCCGAGATCAATCAACCAGCGCTTCGAAAGGGTCACCGTGGCAATTATCAGCGGATTTTTATCTTTCCCACATCGTCTCTCACTAGCGCTCTTGCGCAAAAAGATCATGAGCGAAGAAAATGGAGATAACCTATACCACCGACTTTTCACTTCGAAAATAGAATGGAAAAACACAAAGAACGAACACTTTTATCTAGGAGCTTTATAAGATATTGGGTGTTGCACAAGTGATGTTTGCTCTTATGACTCAACAAAGTTTATCAGAATAATGCTTTCTACACGAACAAAAGCCAAGTTCGGACATGTAGAGAATCCCGCAGAGCTTTAGTGTTTTGTTCAATCTGCCCGCACGCTTAGAACATTCACATGCATACTGAACACAAAAGGTATAGCAAAAATAACGCTTGGAAAGATGTTCCTAACGATAAACAAGCAAAGGTCTAAAAGTCAGGAATGGAGACGACTGCGATCAATATGGTTTCATTATGGATGGAAACCATTAATTGGACATGAGAACACAAAACAGAATATGACACAAGTGTACAGCAACATAAACACTGTTAATTTGTACAAAGATCACCGCTATCAGTTTGGAGAGTGTCAGCGGTGCAGCATGGATAGAAGAGTGTTGGCAATTTGCTTCGGCCATTCCCACGTACTAAAGATAATCAACAATATAGATGGCTGAAGTATAGTAAATCGAAAAAATCAATCAAGACAGATAAGCACAACATCAACCGCTTAAGTTTTCCGAGCGAATGTCCTATTCTTGAAAGCAATTAGACCTGTAAACAAAAAAGTGAGGTCGCAAATTCATTCTGAACTAAATGTAGGCGAACAAGTGCGTGCAAATGCGCGAAGAAACCTAGATAGGATTTAGGCCACGATTCTCCAACAGATGGTGCATATTCGGAAAAAAACGCACAAAAAGATTGAGGGCAAGGATATGCCTAAAACCTCGCACTCCTCCTTCCCATCAATAACGACACAAAGGTCACAGCCGAGCACTAGCTCAAATAATGACATAGTGGATATAAAGAAATCGTCAAAGCCCTGACGATAATGCGCGAATTGAGCATGTAGCATGAGAAAATAGCGCTCGTGGAGCTGAGCAAGTGAACGTATGCGGTGTCCGTGTGTGTGACCTGTGCTAGACATGTAATGTTTATTTTATCTTCGCGACTTCGCGCAAGAATCCCAGTCGCAAAACGCATCTTTATGAAGTTCGCAGTTTCTCAAACGACATAAGCTTACTCCTCCGTGACCAAGAGGTACTTCCTGCTCGTCATGCACGTCTGGAATGTCCACGTCGACTTGGAGAAAGTGTGGCCAACAGAGAGTTGGCATGCGGCGCGGCCTTGCGAGCTGCCCGCCCAATGGCCGCCGAGGGCGGGGCGCTGGAGAACCAATAAGACCGGTCCACGGCGTGCTGCCTCCACCGCTCAGAAGGGATTGTCATTCATTGGGGCGCAATGTTCAAACTCGCTTGCCTTTGCCTCTTTGCTCTGTCGGCATTCGCAGCCACCGTCGAGGAAGAGGAGAACGTACTCGTACTCACTAAGGTAATTAACATTATCCACTTTTCGTTGTAAGGTAGCTGTAATGCCCTGTCTCTTTCAAATTGTCTTTTGATGTCCGACTCCCTCTTTCAAGTCCCATAGGCTTTCCTAACGAACATGCACATGTTTTTTTTTGTATTTCGCCATCAGCATGCATAATTGTAGTACGACGCAGCAAAAGAGTCTAGCACTGCGCTTTTTTTCATCCCATCTTGTGAAATCCCAAGCTGTAGTGTATTGATTGCTCCAGTAGTTGTATACACGCGCAAAAACTCCTTCGCCGTAACTATCGCAACCTATAGGTTCAATGAAGCTCTCTTGTTTTTGCCTTTGTGTAATGCTGCCACTAGTGTACTGAGTAGTTACTATATTTAGGATAATTTCGATGAGGTAATCAACGGACACGAGTTCGTTCTTGCCGAGTTCTATGCTCCATGGTGCGGCCATTGCAAGGTAGGGTTTGGGTTCTGTTTGTGGAATTAACGATTGATTCCACCATATTTGCTACTAACCATATGTTTTTCTAAAATATCATCGATTTTTTATAGGCACTTGCCCCCGAGTATGCCAAGGCAGCCACTCAGCTGAAGGATGAAGGGTCAGAGATCAAGCTGGCTAAACTCGACGCCACCGTTCACGGTGACGTTGCCAGCAAATTCGAAGTCCGAGGATATCCAACACTGAAGTTATTCCGTAATGGTAAACCTAGCGAGTACACTGGTGGGCGTGATGCCGCCTCCATAATTGCCTGGTTGAAGAAGAAGACAGGACCAGTCGCTAAGACCCTCAAGACCGCCGACGATGTCAAGTCTCTTCAAGAAGAGGCCGATGTGGTTGTCGTCGGTTACTACAAGGTTGGTACCATCTTCTTGCTTGCTTCTTTATGACGAAATATCTAATGGTCGTTATGAGTGCGTGAGAGATCTTGCGTAGCCTTGAGAATAGCCCCGGCCTTCGTCGCTCTCCTCTTCGTTCCACTTTTTCACCTTTGGAAAAGGTTACAGTCATGTTCTTGAATGGAACGGTCATTCTTGCGCTAAGTAGTAAAATGCACGTACCTACAAATTCTGGTCTGAGTATTAGGATCAATTTTGATCGAAAAGTTTCTTAAAGACCAAGCCGATAATCATTTGGTACTTAGTGAGCTGCACTGGAATTTCTGTAGTCCTTCCGTTTGTCATTCTTGAATCTTCAGTTTTTCTATTCCAGAATCCCGAAGGAGAAAAGGCCAAGATCTTCCTCGAAGTCGCTGCTGGTATTGATGATATTCCATTCGGTATTACCTCTGAGGATGCTGCCAAGAAACAACTTGAGCTCAAAGAGGAGGGTATTGTTCTGCTGAAGAAGTTCGATGACGGACGTGCCGTGTTCGATGAGAAGCTTACTGCTGAAACTCTCAAGCCTTGGATCCAAGCCAACCGTCTCCCACTTGTTTCCGAGTTCACCCAAGAGACCGCTTCTGTCATTTTCGGAGGAGAGATCAAGAGCCACAACCTGCTCTTCGTGTCAAAGGAATCCAGTGAATTTGAGAAGCTCGAATCCGAATTCAAAAACGCTGCCAAGCAGTTCAAAGGAAAAGTCCTGTTTGTGTACATCAACACCGACGTCGAAGATAATGCTCGAATCATGGAGTTCTTCGGTTTGAAGAAGGATGACCTTCCATCCGTCCGACTCATCTCCCTTGAAGAGGACATGACCAAGTTCAAGCCCGACTTCGCTGAAATCAACACTGAAAACATCGTCAAGTTCACACAATCATATCTTGATGGAGCCCTCAAGCCTCACCTTATGTCCGAGGAAGTCCCCGAAGACTGGGACAAGGCACCAGTCAAGGTTTTGGTTGGAAAGAACTTCGACCAGGTTGCTCGAGACAACACCAAGAATGTGCTCGTCGAGTTCTACGCTCCATGGTGCGGCCACTGCAAGCAGCTCGCTCCTACTTGGGACAAACTCGGAGAGAAGTATGCTGATCATGAAAACATCATCATCGCCAAGATGGATGCTACTGCCAACGAGGTAATTTTGAAATTTGAAGTTTTTCAACATTTATCATTTTTCGAGACTTTTGTGGTTGCATCTTTGCATCTTTTCTCAAACAAATGCATTCTGTCAACACAATTCGGTTACGTTTACTTTTCGGAAAAAAAGCTGCTCTTTGTAGGTCGAAGATGTCAAGGTGCAGTCCTTCCCTACGATCAAGTTCTTCCCAGCTGGTTCCAACAAGGTTATCGACTACACTGGTGACAGAACTCTAGAAGGCTTCACCAAATTCCTCGAGAGCGGAGGCAAAGAAGGAGCTGGACCATCTGAGGAAGAGAAGGCTGCTGAAGAGGGAGAAGAAGAGGTGCACACTGAGCTGTAAACACTGTGTCATCGTGTAGGTGCACACTGAGCTGTAAACGCTGTGTCATTGTGTGTTGCCGCTGTCATTCTGGGGTCGCTTGTGGAATTATGGGCGACCTGTTGTTACAGTTAATTTATTTGGTCTAGGAATCACCCATATACGAGTGATTTGAACATTGCCTTCCTGTATATGCGTTTTTTCTATGTTCCTTTATATTGAATTGTGATCGTTCGTTGAGTGATGATGAGTTATAATAAGATATTTATTCTTCATCTCATTGCAGCACTGCATACGATGAACTGGGTTCCCTAATAAACATTAAAAAAATACGTTTTGTCACAGGGTCACTTGCTTCACGTGAAAATGGCAGTGGGAATTCATTTTTTGTCTATCCCAATTAGCCACTCAGTTTTCGAAGATACAAACCAATGGACATTACACCCTGATGAGGTCAAGTGATGTAACCTTGACATTTAGGCCAGAGCATTCGTGGAACTGCAGTTAGTGTATGGTGTCGTGGAAACTACAAAAGGGGGAGCTTTACTATTTATGTGGTTAGGTTGTCATTTGACTTTTTTTTACTCTTTCAAGACACCTGTCAAGTATGCTTAGTGATAAAGTCATCTCCAGATTAAATTCTTTGGGTCAAGGTCATTTCGTTCACATTGATGAGCATTATTGAACTGTGGTCTTAGCAGGTGCCAGCTCACTCGCTTGAGAATATGCGCTTATCACTCCAGCAACAGCGTTTTTTCTTTTTTTGCGGAGTAGGTGCGATGAACGGCAGTTAGCGATGCGATCGTTGGCCTTTGCGTTAATCTCGACGACCGACTGCGCAGAGAAAACTGCGCGTCGAGTGGGAGAGAGATGGATGAACTCCGAAAACGCGATCTGTGGGTAGCGTGTGCAGTATGTGTAGTAATGCAGCTCGAGTACAGGTGGCAGTGCATTCTCAGCAAGGATTGTCCTGACTTCCTTATCAGAATTCGAAGAACAGAGTGCTTGCTTCAAAACCCTAAACCCGTGTGTAGAGAATCCTGTAGTTAGAAAGGATTCAAGTGAGACTTGCGCCAATCGAGTTAAAGGCTGCATGACGAAGGCAGAAGCAGTATGAAATGAGCGCGCGCGAGCATATCTTTATCGTTGTGAATCCTGCGCCTCATGCGCTCTGCGGCTAATAAAGCGGCGTTCGCGCCCAAAGATGCCTTCGTGTGCAGCAGCCTGTAGCTAATAACGTCTGATTGGTGGCCTTGACGACAGTCTTTTTATTTCCTGGTAATCTATAACCAGCTGATCAGAGTTCTGCAGAGTTTGAGCAGAATTAACGAAAGATTAACGTTCTTTTCGCTATTATGATGAGACACTGTCAAACAGCATCTGACAATAACGGAGAGGGCAGGAGGGCGACTCTCTCATTCCGGAATGGGACGCTAAATTTTCGTAAATGATCATCAGTCACAGTATTTACCGATAAAAAGTTCGGGTTCTTCAATACTTTCTACGGTCATGCTCCGGAAACTTTCCACCCTGTTCGAAGACATGAAGCAGTGCTTCAATCCTCCCAGATCGCTCTGTACCAGATTACCGTCGAATTTACCGTTTATATACCGGATGGTAGCGAGCTTACAAGGGAATGGACAAAGGTTGAAGTGGCTAATTAAGACAAGCTGCTTACCATTAGATGCAGCATGAAACGCTTATTTTGAATCTGTCTTCCATATCTGCTTATCACTCTTGTGGAAAAAGTTATAAGCCATTGTGAGCCATTTTACTGCTAAGTCATGCGTGCAAAGTCCAAGTTTGGTCGTGAGCCATGTCCGGCGAAATGCTGGGCCAAACTGCAGCAAGGTCGCTTTATTTAGCCTGTACTCAAACGTGAGCTAAATGGGCAATAATGTGCTTAGATTTGCAATTTTTATATGCAGTTTTTTCGCAATAAAACGGCTCATAACTTCTTCCACAAAAGTGATAAGCAGATAAGGAAGATAGATCTGAAGTAAGCGTTTTATGCTGCATCTAATGATGTGCACCTTGTTTGGATTGGCCACTTCGACTTCTGACCATTCCCTTGTTAGTTAGCCCAGGGGTGGGATCGAACTTATTGTTAGGATTGACTTGGTCATAACGGCACCTCCAACCACTACACCGATAGGCTGTCATAAAGTTACGCAGGTAAATGCATTTCATCTGTAAATTGTTTTTTGTTGAGGTTTAACAAGTTTTCGTGTCGGGGATAGCCATCAGGATCATAAGCTTTCCAGAAATCCGTGCAGCATCCTCCCACAAATTTCTTGGGAGGATCGTGGCTGATTGTGGCCATCATTCGGAACATTTGTGTCCCTCTCTTCCAGTCCGAAAAAATTCTGGAGATCTGCATCGTACATGATCGGCAAAAAACGTTGAGATAGTTCTAAGCTGCTAGACAGTGGAAATTGTTGAAGAATGTACTAAAGTGCACCAGAAGCTCATGGAAAGATCTAGCACGTTTTCTCGCGTTGTGCACAATCCACTAACCAACTCACGGGAAGCTTATTACAATGGCAAATTCTCTACACACCAGCCGGACAAAAAGCTTTCTTATGAGTCACAATGCGTCAAAATTAGTCACGTCGTAAGCCTTTGGGCCTGTTCTGAAAAAGCTTGCGATGCGTGCATTGTTGAGTCTTCCTTCAGAAGGTCGTCTACAGACCGGATTAAAATGAATACCCTCAGTATGCAAAATGAACCAGCTTGCGTAGCATTACGGAGTTCTTGTGTATAAATCTTCAATATAATCTCCCCTCGTTCTCAACACCTACAGATCCTGTTTTCCTTGACCAAATAAAAAAATGGCACTGCTTCTTCTATCATTGCGGTCGTAATGGAACCTAATGGAAGACGCGAAATGACAAGCCGTTGAGCATGGACGTGTTAGCAAAAGACAGGGTTAGGAATATGATTTGAAGCTTCTGGACTTTTTAGCAGAGAAAATGTATCATGCATACAGCTGCACAGACATGATGCGCGAATTTATTCAGGAGAGTGGAGGGAAGTGTGAGGGGAATTTTCGCAAGCGAAGGGGGATGAATGACGTGTTTGCTGAGATACTTCCCGAATTTTTGGCTAGTTAATTGAAAAAGCGGCAGACATGTCCCCGGAAAAATTTTCTTGCAAGGCTATCGTTATCAGAAAATTCAAATCACTGTTTCAGCCATTTGGAAGTGGGTGAATTTGAATTTAAAAAAGAAATAAAAATAGAAATCTCTACGAAATGAGGTGAGCAAACAGACGAATGGCATTACTTCAACTCCAGTACATTTGCCGAAGCTGCAGATGTCAGAACGCCAGGCCGCCTGAGCTTTTCCAAGACGACGCCCGATCTAATCAACATACGTTTAATCTCTTTTTCCTTAATTTTTATCCGTAACAATCTCATTTTTACAACTTCGTCTCCCCAAAGATTTTGGTTTCTTTTTCCTGACGATACCGCAGTTAATCGGTCAGGAATCAAAGGTTACTTTTACACATTTTGGTAAGTTTGCGATCACACCTCCTTATCGTGGCAAAGCGCTAAGCGTTTCACCTGTTATTTCCTCTCTCAACATCTTAGCGATATCCTCGGTAGGGAGGGAGAATATCGTTGTTGGCAAAATTCATAAAGTGAAATCCGTGTCGAGGCTGTGTGCTCACGCCTTGCCTGACCTTACCGATGATCCACAGCCACAAATGCAGGCTGGCCAGCACCGAATGAACATGGTACTTTGACATTCTCGCTATCTGCTACATATTATAAGCGGAGGAGAATAATTATGTGAGGAGGAGCGATTATTTTATACTATGGTGGCTAGTGACAGAGGAGCAGATTTATGATTGAACAAAAAAGTAAAAAAAAAATCTTCAATCAAAATCTTGAAGAATGCCTAGGCTAATTTACCAGGGTTGCATACTAGATGTCCACTGAAACAATTGTCTTGGAGAGGTATTTGGAGCACAACCTTAACTCGTGAAGTTTCCACACCCTTGAAACCTCCGCCCACACCCTTGAAACCTCCGCAGATTTCTTTTCATTTATTTGGACTACCTAGATGGACTGTCTTCAAATTTCATGTTGGTACAAGTTCTTGGCCATTTAATTCGGTCCCAAGCAATACTCGTTGGTTGCTAGAGCTCAAATCAGTATCCAGCTGCTGAAGGCTGATTCATCTCTTCTCGTCTTCCACATGAACCTTTCCCGCTCTTGGACTCAGTCCAACGTTCTTTTCGGACTAGCGTCTTCTTTCCTCATTATGTGACCGGCCCAACCATATTTCTTCTTCGACGCTTATCCACTGGATCCTGTAGACGCAACATTATCCAGACGAAGAAAGTACCAGAAGTTACGCTGGTCTTTTGACATGTCCCGTACTTTCCGGCGTATAAGCTGCACTTATTTTCATCGCGCACGGGAAATTGTGCGATGACGGTCGCGATGCGCGAAGCTGCACAAGCAGTTAATTATAGTAAGTTTCAACTCATTTTAGGCGGAAATTGGACTGGCGGGAGCGCTTCGCAACGATTCGCGCCGTTTTGCAGTCTGCGTCTCTTCATTCTAACCTATTTCGCTAAGCCAGTGGTGGTGCGGAGGCGCTGTTCCACTTGGAATGTTTTGCTCACTCCGGGCTAAAAGACATCGGTACCAATAAAAAAGATGAATTAGATGAATTTAAAAATGTTAGCCCTTTTATTCAACTGGGTTGGCGGCTGGAAGGCGGGGATTCGTGACCTACTCAAGGCTAGATAATGTGTGCCGATATACTCGGCACCTTTGTTAATCTTATCAATTCCTCTTTACTTAGACTCTTTTGTAGCAGTGGCGTACCGAGGGTGGGGGGGGCGGGGGGGGGGGGGCGCGCGTTCACCCCCCCCCCCCGAGAATGGGTCGCGAAATTTTTGAAAGTTACTTATATGGGTTATAAAAATGTGCAAGTGACTTGTTTATTTTTGTAAATAATTAGAATAATTTTTAAAAATTTTTAAAAATTCAAATTAGCCTTGTAAAAAAAATTTTTTTCGGTGGCGTGACTGACGCCACGCCCCCTTTTCCCAGATTTTAGGGGTCGGGGACCCGCAAAAGTTTTGAGAACCACCCCAAAAAAATTTTCGGAGTGCGTGGCTAACGCCACGCACCTTTTTTAGAAAAAAATTTTTGTCGCCCCCCCCCCCCGAGCCGAAATCCTGGGTACGCCACTGTTTTGTAGCTTGAGGCCACCATTTCGCGACCTCGAGTTATATCTTTGTATTGATATGCATTACCCTACTTTGCTCCGCCTATCAGGAGCAGCATTCTACCACTGCACGAATGGGTGCATGTCGTCT